TCACCTAGGGCTATTGCTTTAAAAACTATCTACATAACAATTGCTCATAATTCTGCATCTTTAATGACATCATCCCTTACTTAGCTCCACAACTTTGTGTCTATCTACTTGCCAACTCAGCCTTCCCACTTGAATTTCTAATAGGAATCACAAACCTGAACATGGCCAAACTCACCCAGTCACTTAAGCAAAATTCTGAGGCTTGTTCTTGTTTCTCCATGTCTATCATCATTAACCCCAATTCCATCCTTCAACAAATCCCATCAGTGCTCTCCAGAATTTATCTAAAGTCCATTCACCCACTCAGCCCAGCCTTTCACCCAGACTTCTACAGTAATCTTTCATCTGGGGTCCTTGCATCCATTTCTGCCCTCCTACAATCTGCTACAGCAACTGAAGTGATTATTTCAAAACAAAAATCAGATAATGTCATTTCTCTACTTAAAAACCTTCAGTGTCTTCCCGTCACACTTAAAAAAAATATTCAAACTCAACAGAAAATCTTGATCAAGTTTTTACAGTGGTAGTTATTAATAGATAACAATAAAAATCAGCTTCAAAAACAATTCATAAATCTTTTTTAAAAACTGTAGAAGAGGATCAAACTTGCCAAAATTTAAGAAGACTAGAAACACTTCCTAAAGATAGTCTTTTAAGGAAGTTCACATACAGTTTACCTCAAGGACTGTGGCTTTCTGACTCAGAAAATCGGGTCAAATGTTTTCTGTGAGGAAGTTAAAAGTAAGGACTTAAAAATAAGGGGGAGGAAAGACAGTGGAATGAGATGGACGTCATTACCCTGAATACATGTTTGAAGATGCACATGGTGTGACTACTTTGTGTACAACCAGAGTTGTGAAAAATTGTGCTCCATTTGTGTAATATGCATTGTAATTCATTCTGCTGTCATATATAACAAAATTTTTAAAAAAGCGGGGAGAGATCTAATGATCTCTATAGAAAGGAGGTAGTGAAGTCAGAGAAACTGTAATGAGGGAGAAAAGGGAATGGGAAAGAGGAGGAATAGCAGAATGAAATTAACCAGACTAACATATCAGTGAATTCACTTTTATCTGTAACCATAATGTACCAATTAAAAGAAAAGAAAAAAAAAATAAAGGGACAAGGTCTGAGTGCTGTATTATAGAGCTGAAGGCCTCAGGGACAGCCTCAGGAGGGAGACAAGTTCCCATTACCCCATTCCCACATTTACCACATCTGTAGACTTAACTATGGTACCTCAGCTTTTCTTTCTTTATCTTTTGAAGTTCTTTAGGAAACAGTCAATACCAAAACAAACCCAAACCACAGCTAATTAGGTTGCTATTCAAGAAAACAAATCCCTACTGAATTTGTACAAATGGGAATATCAAGAGAATAAGAAAACGTTAGCAATGTAAAGACAATAATGAAGGTAATATTTGTTACTGAGTGGAAGAAGTTTCAACTTAAAATTCCATTTGTCACCAGATGGATGGTACCCTCAGCTGGTTGCTCTGGACTCTAAGCAGGTATATTTCCATTCCCCTACCAACTTCCTTCTAAATTCCCTTGACTTTCCTTAGACCCTACTGAACGTCCAACCTGCTGGTGCTTGTACATCAGCCTCCTAACCAGGGGTCACATCCAGACAGCTTGCAGGCTCAGTAGTGTTTTCACATGGGTGCTATTCACCCTTGATGATGTTTTGGTTTATTTTTATGTTCCTTTTGCTTTAAAACAAATCAGTTTCCAACTTTTATAAATGAGACTTAAAATCTGCATTTCAAGTTTCTCTTAAAATTAGCCCTTTGGACAACACTTAGATGAAATTGTGATCCCACCCCCTGCATTTGGGAGGCTCTACCTATTAGCAGGACATGTCCTCTCTTGGTTTGCTCTGTGCTCTGATTGTCTCCCTGACACCAAGGCTCAGGGTCGAAGGCCTGTGATCAATATGGTTGCATGGTTTCTTTTGCTTATTTTGAACCATTTTACTCACTACCTGACCCCAGAAGTGTTTGAGTTGAGGCTCCATTTCTCTCTCTCTCTTTTTTAAATCAAGCTTTTTAATTTTATTTTTAGTTGTAGTTGGACACGATACCTTTATTTTATTTATTTATTTTTATGTGGTGCTGAGGATCAAACCTAGGGCCTCATGCATGTCAGGTGAGCAATCTACCACTGAGCCACAACCTCAGCCCGGAGACTACATTTCTAACCTTAGCTTTTCACCTCATTAAATGGAATCTAATTTCATTCTCTCTGATGTTTCTTGTCATTCCTTACTCTGCTTCTGAGAACTTGAAGTCTCTGGGTGGACTGTTGGATAGGATCCAGAATTAGCATTTGGCCATGGATTATATAGTGTGATGACTTACTTCTAGTGGATTCCATAAAGTGTGGCTTGGAGCTTCCCTTGAAGTCTTAGATTTAGCTAGAAGCTCCACATTATAGGCATGTTAATTCATATTTTACCTTGAAAGTATAAATCCTTCAAAATTTCACTTTTTGTCTCCCCAGTAAGAAGCCAATTCTTGGTTTACATTATGTTACTTCAAACTTTACTACTGCCAACCTGGATTCTTTACCAGCCCTCAACTGGTCTAACCCACACCAGCCAACACATTCTAACACAGCTATCTCTCCAAGTTTGCTGTAATTATATGCCCCACACCCAGACAGAAAGCATTAATAGATAGAATGAGGGGCTGGGGTTGTGGCTCAGTGGTAGATCGCTCACCTAGCATGCATGAGGCACTGGGTTTGATCCTCAGCACCACATAAAAATAAAGAGAAGTAAATGAAGGTAAAATAAGATGTTTTAAAAAAGTAGAATGAACATGCATGGGATCATATTACTTTAAAAATCTACCACTCTTTTTCTCCAGCCATTTCCATTCTTCTCTTTCACTATCTGGGCACACAGCTCCTGCACTTGTGCTCTCTCCCCTCCAGGCCATTGCTCATGTTTTTAAAAGCATATTCATGAAGTCTCTTCAGATCCCAGTTCTGTGTGGCACCTTGCCAGATCCTCCCAGATTAAAGTGTTCTTTCCTTCCTGTGTTCTCTTGGGATATTTTCCCAAGATTCTATCAGTCTGCCTTGAGCTTTAGTTCCATGTGATTTTCTCATGCCTGAGATCTGAGCTTGTGGAGGGTAAGGACCATTATTTACAAGGACCCTTTATTTTCTGTAACCAGCGGATAGCTCCCTGCAAGTTGAACCGAAACAAATTGAAAATTCATTCCTTTAAACAACTCGATTTTAAACCCTTATAGATCTGGGAACCAATGTGACCTTAAAAAGAGGCTTCTAAACCTCTTTTATACCCCCAAATAAAATGTTTGTTCACCTTCAAGGAACAACATATAAGTGTGAAATTTTAAAGTACATGTTTGGAAGTATATACTACATCACCTAAACTAATTCTAATAATGAAACAATAGACAAATTCAGAAAGAGGGACATTCTCCAGGACAAGGGGTCTAGACTATAGAACCAAGAAAAACTAACCAACCAAGCAAATGAAAAAGGCAGTCCATGAACATTTATTGAATCCTGATCAGAAAACAAAAAGCCATAAAAGATATTTTTGGGAATGGTGGCAATTATACATGAGATGATGGTATTAAATTAATATTAAATTTCTTTGGTATAGTAATGATTTTGTTATGTGGGAGAACGACCTTAATTGTTAAGAATTGTACACTGTGTTATTTAGGATGTCATGTCAAGACATTGGCAACTTATTCTCAAATAACTCAGTCTCTTCCACCCCCCAGAAATTTATATATTAAGAGGGAAAAAGCAAAAGTGTCAAGATAATAATAATTAGTAAATCTAGATAAAGAGTATGTGGATATTTTGTGGTACTATTTTTGAGTTTTCTCTAGATTCACAATTTTTTTTCAAAATAAAAAGCTTGGCTGGGGGGATGCCAGGTATGTGGGCACACACCTGTAATCCCAGAGGCTTAGGAGACTGAGACAGGAGGATCACAAGTTCAAAGCCAGCCTCAGCAAAAGTGAGGTGCCAAGTAACTCAGTGAGACCCTGTCTCTAAATAAAATACAAAATAGGGCTGGGGGTGTGGCTCAGTGGTTGAGTGCCCCTGAGTTTAATCTCCAGGACCAAACCAAATCAAACCAAACAAAATGGTAAGTAAGAGGGTAGAAGAAAGTTTAATTTCCTAATTGTATTATTCTTAAGCTGTTACTAAATAAATAATAGCTAAGTAGTGAAGAAAACATTTATTTTGGTCTAGCTTTATATTTTGTAGTGGAATCAACTAGTAGCAAACCATATATTTAGTTGTAAGAATTATTAAATTGATAATGCAGATTTTGTTACTTTTAAGATAGACTTTTCATACTTGCTTTATGCTTTTTTTAAGAAAATCAACTAGAAGAAGTAGATTAAAGTATGTATTGAGGAATATAAGTTTTCACTGTAGGTTTGGAAATATTTGACAAATCCTAACTTTTCATTATCCCAAGCCTTTCTAAGTCATCTACTATTTTAGGTATCTAAAAGTAGATACCCCCTTTTCTAGGTTAAATGAAATTACTGTCTTTTCTTGGTGCTCGCTAAATGGATCTGGTCGATAAAGGTGGAGATATAAATATATCAGTGTAAAAGGACAAATAAGAGATAAGACCATGCATTTATTGCCCACTTATGTAATTGCATGTGTCACTAAGGACAAAGGTCCTTAAAGCAAGACAAAAGGCAAAGTAGAAACTGCTCTCTGCATGAAGATAGATGGGCTTGCTGCCACTTCCCTCTTTGGGATTTTTTTTTTCTACATGGTTGTATATTCTTCTAGTTTTATAATCATGTTTGAGAACTTAGCCATTTTTCTGAGCACGAGTTGATGGCGGAAGAGATGCTTTGCTCCAATAAAAAGAAAACAAGGATTTTTCGAGAGCATTCATAGACTGGGTCCAGAGGACAGCCCTTTCTTCCTGAGCTCTGACAACCCTTGCTTTAAGAGGAAATATTGACTAGGACCACAGCACCATGGATGTAGTAGGTGAAAATGAGGCCCTGCAGCAGTTTTTTGAAGGTAAGAAGAGTCTGGTTTCCAACGGGAAGTTACCACTTCTGAGAAATGTCACTTTCGCAATTGCAATTGCACCTTCCCCTCATTTACTTAAAATTTGTCTTGAAAGAAACCCTATCATATTTAGATAACTCTCCTGAAGTTGGAAATGGAGCTTGTTTGCTTCATTGTAGGAAAAGTCGGTAGAATGGATACTGATTTTAAAAAACAGAGAATTTCCATCTTACAGCTTGGTTGTTAAGAATCAAAGAGTCAGCATATTTATTATTTATTACTTGTGTCCTCTGTGTTTTAAAAAATGTCAGATTTGTCTTCTCTCTAAAGTGACTGAATAAAGCCCAAGAAAAATGTAAGATTTAACTTAAAATATTTTTAGTTAGTATAAAATACAAAACAGACTAAAACAGCAAAGAAACACCTCCTTCCTCATTCCCATCTTTCTGTTTTTCTCACAACATTTTAAAAGTATTTAACTGAATAGGATTTGTTTTTTCAATCGAATATCGTTTTTTTCTCAGGGGAAAGACATGCTGTGGACTATTACACAGGTTTTCTTCCTAGTGAGATCCTAAATGGCAGGACACCTGTTCCTCTTTTGCTGGGTTGATATTGATATTTGCTGGGTTGATATTTTGCTGGGTATGCTGGCAATGTCTGTGAAGCCTCGTCCTCTGTGCTGTTCTTCTATGTGCCAGAGGGAGGCTCCATGTCGGGTGGCTTCAGTGTGATACAGGTTAGCCGTGCTCAGACTCCCCGTGAAAGGACATGTGGCTGTAGGTATTTCCCAGGAGCGAGAATGAGGAGAACTGAGGGTGCTCCAGGGCAGACGTGCTAGAGGACAGTCAGCAGTACACCAGGGACGTGCACCTGGCAATTCTTGTGCTTAGTAAAGTGCCTGGCAAATAACAGATGTTCAGAGGTTGAATGGAATTGATCAAATACTAAACAATACAGAACAATAAGGAGTGACAGGTCATATAAAAAAAATAGTCATTCTAGTCATCATTAGAAGGAATCAACATAATGCGGTAGTTTTCGTGGTTTGGATTTTGCCATAAGTGGCAAAAAGGAACATAAGAATAAGAGAATTATCATATTCCCTCCATCCCACAGTTCTGCTCGACAGTGGCCAAGTTAGCATTGCCCACCGGGTCATGTTTGAGTTGTTGCTTCGTTGTTATTGCCTGATTTTACATCAGCTGTAACTGTCATTTGACCAGCAGGTTACAAGCTCCAAGCTACAGTTGCATCTGCACTTTTTTTTTCTTTTAAAAAAAGAGAAATTATTAATGTAGTTTATAAATGCAAAAAGTCTACTTCACTTCCTTCCAGAACAAGGACAATTTAATCTATCTTCTGCTTATTTTTTTCTGGAAGAGTTATTAGATCCTGTAGGATTCCTATGCTGTCCTTGTTTGTAATATTTTCAGAGATCGCTATGGTTTCTATAAATTTCCTCTGTAGCTTGTGGTAATACCTGATTATTACAAAGTATATTGATGGGGGAGGAGTCCATTATCTACAAAAGAAAAGAAAATGCTCAGCGTTTTTCTTATTATCTTTGAGTGTATAGCTGGGATAGGTGGCAGACTTTATGAATAAAAAATACAGGCATTAGCTTAAGTGACTCCCTTCCCCTGAAAATCACAGAGCTAATTGTCATCTTAAAAAAATTTCTCCACTATTCAGCAAGCATTAAGCACCTACTCTATGCCAAGTCTGACGATCACCTCCTTTAAGTGGTAGCCCGTAGTGCTTTGAAACCTCTCCCTTGGATTTTAATGATTTCCTTTCCCTGGACCATTTTCAAATCTTCCTTAGAAGGAAGGCAGCAAAATTAGATATGGTGTTGTGACGAGAAGGGACAGTTGGTGCCTGTCACGCTCCCGTTGATATTCTGCTGTTTCTAATCAAATACAATATCATGAGAAATTTTTAAAAAACAAGGTCCAAAAGCCAAGAAAACTTTTGGCAAATTGTTATACACCTGAAAGCATTTTTCTCCATTTCCGCGGACTCTTTGTTCTAAGAAACTAAGCTCTAAATAATGCATTTTTCCTTAAGAACATTTTTGTATTCAAGAACATCTGGATTGAAAAGCTCATCTTGAATTAGCTCATTCTGACTTTAGTTTTTGTTATACAATGGCCGACTGAAACTCCAGCTCCCTGCTGGAGTCTCTCTGGGTAGCTCTTAGGACCAGAGGCCGAGGAAGGGCAGGAACCTGCACACAGGTCCTCAGAGCAACAAAGAAGACCTAACCAGGAAGCTGCTATCAAACAAGCTTTGGACACGTTCTTTCCTGTCTGTCTGCTAAGATTTACATTCTCCAGGTAGCTGTTATCAAAAGAAGGTGATGGGGATGCAGGGAAGGTGGAAACATTTGCTACCCACAAGCTGTCAGGAACACCACGGCAGAGTCCAGTGTTCAGGGAAATGCTGAAGACCTTGGAGCATAAAAGCAGTGATGAAGTGCCCTGTCAACATGGGACAAATCGAGAAAGACTTCAAGGGAGGCGAGGCTGAACTGTTGTAGAAGAGAGACGTAGCTTGGGGAAAATGTCTGCATGGCATCAGTAGATAGCAGGCATTCAGTAGTACTTGTAGAATCAATGAAAGAAAAAAGCAGTGCAAAGAACTACACCTTTCAAGAGGTATTGAATTCTAACTAGATTTGGGTCACTCAACAAGTTCAAATGTAGGAAAAAAGAAAAAAAAGTGATTGATAAATGATCTAATGCCACCTTCTACTTTCATAGAGTCTTGTGTTCAGAATGCTTTCACAGAAAATGTCAGCAGTTTTGATGAGTGAGAAAGGTTACTTTCTTCAAGAGTAGGTTTGGTTCATCTCTAAAGATGGAGTTAGACATCTTGTTGCATGTAGCACATCTAAACTTCCCCCGCAGGGGTGGGAGTTTGTTCATCTGTGAGGCAGCTTCTCCTGTGTGGAGACAGCATGGACTTACAGAAGGAGACTGGGAATAAGAATGTACCAACATCAAGAAGAACCAGACAGATCTTGCAAGAAATTTAGGGTTATTTCAACATTTCTACCTGATGTTGGTAGTTGGTTAGAAACTGTGTTGCCTTGGAACAGAATAAAGAGGCTACTGGCTTGGTGCCACCAAGAAGAAACCCCTTCTTGCATGCTGGGATCCCCAAAATGAAGGTGGTTTAATTACAATTTAATATGTGCCATGATGAGATCAGAGCTGACCCTGGTCACCTTCACACATGCTGCTGCACTAGAAATCTGCCAGCCTTATTGCCATCTTTAGGGAACCCTGAGACAAATTCACATGGACAAACCCTTCTGAGAGCAGGTTCCTCCCACCTTCTTTGATGTTATTAATGTGGTCATCATTTTCAACTTTGGAGTTAGGATGGAACTTCTGGCCAACTCAACAGTGTCTTGGAAGCTAAACATTCAACATAATGGCAATTTTGGAAAACATATAAAAGAAAATGATAGTCATTAGTATTAATCTCTGTTTGATTTGGTGTTGACCTTATGTGTTTTTTAAAACAAAAATGGGGATTATATTATTTGTACTCTTTAGTAATGGTCTTTTTCATGGAACATAGAGTGAATGTCTCTTATTATTAGTTATTCTTGCTGATCTACAACAGAGATCCACAAGCTATGATCCATAGCCCAAATTTGGCCTGCGGCCTGTTTTTACAAATAAAGTTTATCAGGACACATCTAATCATCCACATATTGTCTATGGCTACTTTGATAGTGCAGTGTCAAGAGGTGAGTGGTTGCAACAGAGGCCATATGGCCTGAAAAACCTAAAACATTTACCATCTGGCTCTCTACAGGATATGTTGGCCAACCCTTCCTCTACAACTGAATGACTGTTATTTATTGAATACTTAGTATATGCTGGGTATAGAATCATAGTTAGGAACATGGATTCTAAATCAGCCATCCTGGGTGGGAATCCTGGCTCTGCCATTTATTTACTACCTCTGGATTAGAGACCAGTCCTCTGCAGGACTTAGCTCCTTTATTTATAAAATGGAGATAATTGTATTATCTCAAAATGTGGTTGAGGAGCCTTATGCATGGCACAAAGAGGTCAGTAACTGTTAGCTATTATTATTCTCATTGTTAATTATCACTTTTCTCCACTTACCATCAAAGCAGCTCTGTGCAGTTTTTATCCTCCCATGAGAAACACGAGGCTTATGGAGGTTAAGCAGCTTGCTGAAGGGTCATCCAGATAGTAAGTGGCTGCAGGATCATCATTGATTCCTTCCTTTTTTTATTCACTCAGCCAATCAAAAAATACTGGAGTTTCTCTCATGAGCCGGATGCTGTCCTAATGTACAGAGTATCAGTGGCCACAAACAGACCCCTGGCCCTAAAGGGGCACCTTTTCTAGCTGAAAGAATAAGAAGGAGATAAGATAACCTAGGGAGATACATAATAAAGATGATTTCAAAAATTCCTTAATTATAATAAAAATAGATGATGAGAAACTGAGGCAGGAGGATCGCAAGTTCAAGACCAGTCTCAGCAACTTAGGGGAGACAGACTGATGCATGGAGAGAGTGGGTTCCTAGAGCTATAGTGATCAGGAAAGACTTCTGAGAAGGTGACAGTTGAGGAGCTGGGAACTGAATAATGATCAGGAGCAAGTTATGCAAAAGTTTGGGAGAACACTCACGCACAGTCACTGAGTGTGGAATGGTTTGGAGTGGAGTGCGGAAGGAACAGTGAGGTGCAGGTGGTTGGAGTGTAGTGAGTGACAGTGGGGAGGGCGACAGCAGTAGAGTTTGACATTAGTTTGGGCTTTTATTGTCAGTGTCATGGAAAACTAGCTGAGAGTTTTAAGCAGTAGAATGGGCAGGACTGACAGATGAATGGGACACGAGACTGAGGAAGACAGAGGAAACTGTTAAGGCCGACGCCTCCATGTTGGATGGTTCATAGTGATAGGAAGATTCAGATGTGGAAGATGAAAGGAAGCACAAGTAGGTGTTTGTGTGTGTGT